TGTGAATATGTTTCTGACAGACCGTGAGAGAGAGAGTGTGAGAGAGAGAGAGAGAGAATACCTAAAATGTGGTAGGTGATTGGCTATGTCTCAGCCCTCTCCACTTCACATTTCCCAGAAGAGCTTCTGCTTATATGACTAGTAAGCAGAGGAGGTATGTTAGCAGAAAGGAGTGGAATTGTGCAGGGTGTGTCTCCGGGCGGCTGGCCTCCTCCTCTGGTGGCCAGATGGGCTTTGGGTGTAGCATGAAGCAGCAGCCTTGGGAACCCAGAGCTCCCGGGAGCAGTGGCTCAGACCACTGCTCTAAGATTTCATTTGTGTAGTCCTTTAGATCCTGGTGTGTGTGTGTTGGGTAGTGGGGTGTTCATCTTCCATTAATAAGCCATCTGATGAACTGAAGTGGTTAAGTTCGGGTCAAATGCGGTTCAGTACCTTCTTGGCATGCCCAGAAGCTGTATGTGTAATGCTCGCTGACATGGAGACAAGGAGAAGAATTGCCTCGTACTGAAGAATTTCTAGGGCCTAGAAGGGCCTGCAGGTGTTCCAAAAGGAGGTGCTCATTTTCTACATCTTGGTGCCCGCCTACTTGGGGTAGGTTCGGTGCTGGGGCATTTCCCAAGCCTGGTTCTTTCTGGCAGGAGCTTCAGCCTCTCACCAGACAGACCCAGGGGCTGGACAGAGAGGGGCCTTTTTCCTGCCCAGCCCAGAAACACCCCCAGCATATTCCTCCCCACTACCCCTTCTCTGAAACACAGACCCAAGGCTCCCGGTGAGGGTTTATGGCTTACAGTTGCACTAAATTCTCAGCAAATCCTCCTCCTTTTCTTTCTCAAAGCAAGTGGTAGAGATAGAGTTACAGCTCTGGGGAAAGGCCTGGAAAATGTTGTGTGAGGCACGCCCCAGGATGCCTGTCCTGGAGGATGCAAATGGCTCAACTTTAGAGGCACCAGGAACCCAGTTCCTGAGAAATTGACCCTAGTTGTAAAATAATCAGGTTACTGATAGCACCTGCCCATAGTTACACACCATGGATACAGGTGCGTTTCCACCATTTCCCCTCTGTTCTCCCATTTTCTCCTCCTCCCGGGCTGAGCGGTGGTTGGTGCTCGTCTGCCTGCAGAGGAGGAAGAGCCTCAGAACCTGGGTGGAGAGAAACTGAACCTGCCCATGAATTTTGGACTGCAGATAAGAGCGGGGAGGGTTTAGGCTCCAGATTGGGGTGTGTCCCAGGGGCTGGCTGGGTGCCGCCCTCCTGCCCCCTCCCACCCTTCAGTTCCCTTTTCAAAAGGGGAGTTGGCTCTTTTACTGTGAATCCCAATGGCTCAGGCCCTGTGGTGCCGAATAAATGATGGACTTCACCGACATGTAGGCAAGGCTGCAGGCTTCACGGTGTCCAAGGGTAGAGGTAAGAGTAGCCAGGGGCAGCTGGCTGGCCAGTCATGTGGGGTCTGGAGGGAGGGAGCCCGGAAGTAATGGATCGTTTACACTTTTATTTTCTAATGAAAGTTTCATTGAAGTTTGTTTACAGAAAGAGAGAAATTAGTAGATCAAATTCCCTTGAGATTCCAGGAGGGAAAAGCAAGAAGTACATGACTTATGGCTTATGACCTCTAGGCGAGCAAGGGGAGCACTCTAGGTCAATGCACAGGCCTGAGGCCCTACCACTTGCAAACCTGAACTGGCCACCTCTCCCAGGTCCCTCTGGATTTGGGTGTATTTCCCCCTCTGCCCATCATGTATTTCCCCCTCTGCCCATAGTCATCGATAGGCTCTGAACTGTGTGTGCTGGTAATTGTCTCTGTAATTAGCCTGCTCCTGGAGCCTTGGCTGGGTGTGAGTGGGTGAAGGTACAGGCCACCCTCTGCAGCTGGGGGCTCTGCTATAGCAGGTGAGTTGCAAAGCGGTCTTGGGAAAGCTTCTCTCCCAGATCAGCCCTGAAAGCGAGGGTATGGAAACTAAGTTTGGTTGGAACTTAGTCACTTTTCTCCCCAGTTAGGTTTAATGGACTTGATTGCTCACTTAAAAAAAAACTGCTATTTAACACCAATAAAAAAAATTGCTGTAGCAGTAGTGTCAAAATCTTAGAACCACTGCTCCCAAAACAGGGACTCATGTGGCAAAACCCTGGGGGCCAAGGGAAAACTCACTGGGGAGAGCAAGATCATCAGTAGGTAACTGAGGAGGGGTTCCACAGCCCCCTTCTTTCTCTCTGCTTACATGGGGTCAGGATTTTTCACTGGTCTTTTTCACTAGATATAAGTTCCCAGAGGAAAAGCACCCTGCCTTAGACATCTGTGTTCCTAGCATTTCCCCAACTCATAGTATATGTTCAATAAATGTGTGTCGACTCATTGAAGAGAGCTTGTGAGCATGTGGGCATGTGGCTATAAATATAGCTTCATCTCCCATGAGTTCCCTTTGGGTCTCATCTTGAGACACTCTGTTGTTAAGGAATCTGGTTCTTTCGATTGAAGGGAGGAAGTGTGGTGAGGAAGCTTCTTGGTGTGGTAGCACTGTGATGTGGGCTCTGGGCAGACTGCCTGGGTTCGAATCCCAGTTCTGCCACTAGCTCTGATGCCCTTGGGCAGCTGGGGCAAATACAAGATCTGGAGATAGGCCTGACATGGGCACCTGCTTTCTTTTGGTGGGAGGCTGTTGCAAAGAACTCTCATAAGACCCTTGCCCTGAAGCCCCTTGTATGTGGGCACCGGATGGCCTGCCTTCATTAGTGATTGTGTTGTCAATGTAAAATTTAGCCCACCTCTTCCTAATTGCACCTGTCAGAGCAAAGAGGGGTGGAAGGGGTTCATTTTGGTAGACAGTGAAGTGATCTGAGGGGTGGCTGGCAGCTGTAGGAGGGAGACCTTGCAAGGCAGCTCACTGCCATTGGCCTGCCCACCAGCCAGAGTCCAGGTTTCATACAGTCTCCACTTAACTGTGTGCGGTGGGATTGAGTTCTTAATTGTCAAACTGATGCCACGTTGCCATTAAACACTGGGTATCATGCCAGGCAATTCGGCCAGTTCAACGAATCTCCTTGGCCTTGTGGCATGTCCAAGGAACATACAGCCTGGTCCCTACTCTTGGAAGCACTTAAGGTTTTCTGGGGGAAAAACAGGACACAGACACACAGTGTGTTGACATTCTACAGCTGAGGGTTGTGCACCCGACTAACTGCCGGGGCTAATGGTACAGGCAGACAGATTGTGTAAGAAGAGAAACGTTGGAGACTGAGCTCAGGTTGATGGAGAGAGGTGTGTGTATTTAGAATTTGGGTCATGGAGCATCACAGTAGTATGGGTATTCCGGGTCAGAGGGACAGATGAACAGAGGCTTGTAGGCGGGAAGGAGGGTATGTTTGAGCCCTTAGGATTGTACACATCTGGCTCTGCCACTTGTTAGCTCCTGACCTTGGGCGCAAGTGCCTTAACCTCGTAGAGCCTCCGTTTTCTCATCTGTAGAATGGGGCTGCTAATAGTACCTACCTGGTGGGCCTGTCGTAAGGGTGAAATGATATGATCCAAGGGGAGCACTTGGCGTCTGATAAGCTTCAGCTTCTGCTGTTGTTTTAAACTTGGCTGAGTGAGGCTAGAGTGTAGGAGCCCTCAGTGCTGCACCCGGCAGTTCTGACTTTTTCCTTACTCCTTTGTGAGAACCCTGCGTGTTTAGTGGAACACTCCACAAGCCTTTCTCTGAGCTGGAGACGTCCTTGCACCTTGGGAGGGGACACTCCTGTGTGGCTTCACTTCCCTCAGCTCACCCACCCCAGCTACAGCAGCCCTGTGGCTTCTCCTCAGACCTACCAGCATGTGCCGGTATCTGGAACGCTCCCCACGTAGACCCCCACACAGCCACTTTCCTCACTTCCTGCAGGCTTCTGCCCGATGTTCCCTGACCAGTGAGGCCCTCCTTGGCCACGGGGCAAACAGTCTTGCAGGTCCCTCTCCCCTCCTATTAGGCTTTATTTTGCCTTGTGTACTCTTCAACACCACCAACATTATGTGTTTTTCGTGTTGATCGTCCATCTCCTTCCCTGGGCAGTGAACACCAGGAAGGCCAGGACTCTGTCTTATCCGCAGTTGAATTTCCCTGCACCTGGAAAGGTGCTTGGTTCTTAGTAGGTGTTCAATAAATACTTGTTGAATGGACTTATGGAGCATTTTCAATAGGTGATACTTCCAGATGTTAAGAGAATACTCAGTCTTTTAAATCATGTGTGTTTCAGCAATAGCCAAGAGCCGGGCGAGGGCCTTCCTGCCTCAGCTATGACTTCAGGTCATACCCTGACCACAGTGTACCTTGGGCAGCCAGGAAGGAGCAAGGGGCCCAAGCAAGGATGCCCCTGGCCTGGGCTCCCAGACCCTGTATAGTGCTCTCTGCCTCCAAGGGTCCTTCTCCCCAGTCTGCCAGCCTCCCTTCTCACTCTCTGCTTCTGTCCAGTTAGCATAGGGGAGAGTTTTGTTGTCCCTTTGGACCCTCTGTGCAGAGAGAGCCTTTTGAATGTGTGTGTGTCCCTCTGGGTGTGAGAACACAGTCTGAGTGAATGTGAGTGAGTGTGTTTTCACCCAAGGAAGAGTGTGGGTGGATGTGCTTGTGTGTAAGGAGCAGGGTGGGAGGGAGGCGTGTGTGCGTGTGTGCAGGGAGAGAGCACCAGGACACGTGGTCTCCGTCCCCCGAGGCTTTGAGTAGGCCGCATAGGGACCCCTGAGCTGGGCAGAGCTGGCATCCTGGCCTAGCTCGAGTCCTCCAGCTGCAGAGGGTACACACTCATGCTGCACAGGAGCTGTAAATTCCAGGAAACTCCCTGCCAGCCCTGTGTGGTGGGGGAGGGAGTGGAGGCTGGTTCCCTAGCACTTGGAGAGCAGATGTGCCCTGCCTCAGGGACAGCAGCAGAAGAAAGTTCAAACTAAAGTGTGTTTGCTCACTATAAAAGAGATGTCTGTGAGGGGGCCTTGGAGGGGAAGCTCTGGTGAGGAGGGGTGCTCTGCCAGAAGTCCTCACTAGGGGCCCACAGAGGCCATTGTATCTTGCTGGAGGGGACAGGGGAGGAGGCAAAGCCAGAGATCTGGGGTGTGGGAGCTGCTGGGTCATCTTTCTTGCATTTTACAGCCAGCTCCCAAACACAGTTGCTTGCTGCTCCTGAAAGAGGCTGGGCCAGAGGGAGGTGGGGTCCCTTCCCCCTGTAGGGCTGGATTGAAGGGGCCCCGCCCCGGGGGTTCCCGGATGACTGGCCAAGGCCTTACCGAAGCCAGGGAGGGGAGAGAAGGCAGGCGTGGTCCTCTCCAGCAGGGCCTCCGGCTGTTTGGAAGGCCCTGGCGGCCCCCCAGGCCCTTGAGCCGAACCCCCTTTGCGGTCTGATCTGAACCCTTGCCTGCCCCACCCCCTTCCTTCTGTACACTTCTGGGGCTGGCCTTTTCAGCTCTGGAAGCTGCCCAAGAGCATATCTTTGAAGCACAGCAAAGGTTAGGAAGGAGGAAGACAGAAATGTCCTCTGGGCTGGGGGAGTGGGAGAAAGGAATTCCATGCATGCTCCACGGGAGTCAGGGCGGCAAAGCTTGGTGGGGTGATCAGCTTGGCCTCGGGGGGCCGGGGGGGGGCGGGGCAGTATGTCCTGCTACCCACTTCTGGCCACCTTGCCCTGTGTACAGGGAGCCCCCTTCCCAGGCTGTGAGCAGGGCGCGGGGAGCCATGGCCCTTGTTTACAGCGCTTGTTTCAACCTTGGCTCACAAGGGTAAGAGCCAGGCCCTGCCATCCGCCCCTACAGGATGTGAGACCTCGTAATTGTCTTCAATTACAGAGCTCCTGCCCTGAGCCCCGGCTTCTGACAGGAACCAGAGCCCGAGCCACTTCCACAGGAGGCAGGGGAGCAGCCCCGCCCCCTCTGCAAGATTGAGGGGCTCCCTGTGGCTCTTGGGGCACTTCCAAATGCCCACGGGCCATGGGGTCCACCTACAAGGCAGCCTGGGGGCTGCCGAGAGCCCGTTGCTGTTGAATGCTTACCTTCTTTGTCCCTGGTTAGGATGAAACTTCTGTGAGCAGTGAAGATTTTGATATGAATGACTCCACATGGATGTCAGCTGACCCACACCTGGCCTCCAGCCTGAGTCCCAGCCAAGACGAGAGGATGCGGAGCCCGCAGAACCTCCATAGCCAAGAGGACGGTGAGTGTCCCTTGGTGGCCGGTGGGGGAGGGGCTGCACCGGACAACAGAGGCCTAGGAATCTGGGGTAGTGGCATCTGGGGGCTTACTGCTGCCCCCTGTGTTCTCAGCATCTCCGTGGGCCCCACTGCCCAGCTCCTGGTCCTGGGGAGACCAAGTTATTCCTCCCAAAGATAAATGGATGGAGCTCTCAGGGGTTGGCACCCTGATAGGTTTGTTTGCCCTGATGCTCATGGGCTGGTGTGATACAGATTTTGAAGTTATCACGATTCGGGCCTAGGAAGGTGGACAGTGTGCCTGACCCAGAACAGTGTCAGCTACCCAGCAGTGAGAAGAAGCGCTGGGCTTCCGAAGCTCAGGGTCCCTGCCCGGCACCCGGCAAGCAAGCAGGCAGTGCGCTTGTCCACGTTTGTGCCCCCAGCCCCTTGGGATGTGATGTGGCCCTAGCTGAGGAATTGTTCGGACACTTCCCCACCCCAGCCCCCACCGTCCTCCAGGGCCTGCCAGGCAGCCTCCTGCAGCGTCCCTGGGAACAGAGGCTTCCTTTCGGGATGAGAGAGTTGGAGTCGAAAGTCAGATCGCAGAGGTCTACTTCAGAGCTCCCGTGTGGAGCCCCTGGGGTGCTAGGCTTTGGGGCTCCAGTGCCTGCCTCAGGTATAGTTGTATGCCTGGGGTGGCACCTATGGTCAGAGTGTCCTGGCCAGGCTCTGTTCTCCGGGGAGGAAGTGACTGGGGATAGGGGATGAGCTGAGTGAAGCCTCAGAACTGGGGTGTAGAGCTGCCAATTAGGAGGAGTCGAAGGTTGGGACCTGGAATGTGGGAGGGAGGTGCAGGGTTAAAAAGGGGTGTAATGTTAACTATGTGAAATGGGCTAGCCTTAAAGAGTAAATAAGGGGTAGGAACCTTGCAGTTTGGGTCAAAGTTCATCTCCATGGCAGAACCCGCGCACGCCTCCAACTGCCCTCACAGGCCTGAATCCGGCTTTGTCTGGGAGGAGACGCAGCCTAGGGGCAGCTGGGGTGGCTGGGCCCAGGGCTGGGGAGCCCAAGGAGTAGTTCTTCAAGGAGTGGGGTGCAAGGCGGCTGGAAAGAAAAGGCTTTTGTGCCTTGCTGCTTCGTAGGGTCAGCACGACCCCCTTGTGCCGTGAGCCTCCTGGACCAGTACTGCCCTCCAGCATTCCCACGGGGTGGGGACCTGGGGCCGGAGCAGCCACGTGCTGCTGGGGGCTCAGGCTGGGAAGTACCCAGCAGCTGACCTCCCTCCTCATCTGAGCTGATTGAGAGCCACACCCAAAGGCTACACCAAGGGCTATGCCAGCAAAGCCAAGGGTGTTGATTATATCTTTCCAAGAAGGATCCAGAACATTTTTTTAAAAACTCAGAGTAGTAGGACTGAATGAGGGCCATGTTCCCCCAACCCATTCTCAAAAAGTCTTGTGTTATTGTTACTTACAACCACCTTTTGGGGGTCTGACCTCTGCCAGAAACACTTCCCGGGGAGATTTGGTGATTTGGGGGGCCTCCAGGATCAGGTAGCAGAAGGGAGTGTTTCCATGGGGGTCACAGGACTTCCTCAGCATCATTGCCCTGCCACCCAGAGGTCGGCCGATCATAAATAGGAAGCTGAGAAAAGCAAAGAGGCCGGTGGGGTCAGTGTGTCCTGCAGCTGGTCCCACAGGAGCCCAGTGGGGGCCCGACCTGGGTGTAGTCATGCATATCCCCATCACCACCCCTGCCGCCCAGGTCCCCCCTGGCCCTGGGTCCTGGGGTTGAGGTAGGCTGCCCTGCTGACAGGACAGGGTGTTTATCAGGGCGGGCAGCCGGAGCTGGAGACAGGGAGGATGGTGTTGACCATGATACCATCAATTTAATTATTTAATCAGAGGCTGTGTCTGGAAGCCGTGGGCTGACATGCTGGCCAGAGGCCAACCCAGACCCAGTGCAGGGGGTCGTAGGCCTTGAGAACACTCAGCCGGCTGGCCTAGTCTCCACTGCCCCTTCTGGTTCCAGATCTGTCAGTGACTGCCATGTCTGACCAGTGCAGTGAGTTCCCAAAGGGTTTTGGCTGGGCACAGACCCAGCCTGGAATCCTTGTCCAACCCTCCAGCCCCCACAATGGCATGCAGCCAGCTCCCTTCTCTGAAGGTGCTTACAGTGCAGACACGGGCTGAGATCCTGCTCCCATCAGTGAGTCTGAGTCAGTGGGAGGCCATCAGGGGCTGTAGGGTGTTCTGTGTCCTCTGTGGTTAACAAAGGGCTAGGTGGGGACAAGCCAAGCAGGGGCTCTAGTTGGCCTGTATTCTGCACCCAGCCACAACCCTCCATGGTCTCCACTTCTAGCTCACGCGCCTTCATCAGAAGCATCCCCGGCCCCATTGACCCCAGGTGGCTTAGTGTGTGGTCCCTGACCCTTGGTCATTCATGGAAGAGACAAGTTGGAAAGATGATGTCTGAGGCCCCCAGTGTGAGCTCTGTGAAACATGGACCATGTCAGTTTTGCTCTCCACTCTGTCTCGGTGACTCCAGCTGTGTGCCCGGCACATCAGGGGAGCCTGTTGGATATTTGCGGCCTGAATAAATACAGGAACAGCTATTTATTGAGACCTGCCCCCAAGCACACCATCCAGAGGGGATTAGGTCTGCCCTTTGCTGGGGACAAGTTGGGTTCTTTGTTCCTGGGGATACCCCTAATTTGAGCACCTGGGTCTTTTAGCCAGAAAATGTGAGTACTCTCAAGGTGGTGTCGCTGGCCAGTGATACAGCCCGGAAGCATTTCAGGAAGCCAGGCAGTTCGCACAACAGATTCACACCTGTTGGTGGATGTGTTGGGGCTGCCTTCCTCCTCCCTCACCTCCTTTTTTCAAGATTTAACAAAGGCAGATGCACGCCAAGGCGGAGATCAGAAATGGTTGATCCGCAGGCCAGTCCCCCCAACCCGCCCCTCCACAATTTACCAGCAGTGGGAGTGTGCTTGCCCAGAAACAAGCTTGTGCTTTTCCCCCAAGCCCACCGCTGCCGGCAAGGCTCCATTCACAGATCTTGATAGTCCATTCCCTGCTCCCTAAATCACAGCAGCTTGACAGAGAAGCACCGCTTGCAAGGCACTTCCTCACTGGGGACTGTGGCTGCCTCGGGTGAGCACATCACTCTTGTCCCATCTCACAGGAGGAAACCAAGGGTCAGGGAGCAAATTTGGGCGATCTGGCGAGAGCCAGGAGGGGTGCTGAGGCTGCCCTCTTCGTCTTTGGCAGGTGTCAAAGCCATGCGTAAGGTTGTGGGGACCAGGTCTCAATAAATAGTTGTTCCTGTATTTCCCCGGAAGATGGGTAGGGGATCCTGGGAACGAGAGGAGGCTCCCCACACACACTCAGAGCACTGACATCTCAGGAGCCCAGAGAGATATGCTCTCGCGCTGCCTTCTGCCCACACGCAGCCGAGTCCCCTCCAAGATCCACCGCTCAGCCGGCTGAGGCTTTGGTCTTTCTTTTGAGTTCAGACAGCACTTTGGTCTTATCACAAGCATCTAGAAAAACACTCTAGCCCTGTGGCTGCCTTTCGGAGGTGGAGAGAGGATGCCTGGGAGAAGCCAGCTGTTGAGACTTTGTCCAGGGACACTGTGGTCTGGTGCTGACTTGGGACTGAACAGCACATCTGTCTGGCATTATGCCCATCAGTGGACTGTCCAGTGCCCATCTCCCTATACTGTGAACACCCTGGGAGCCAGGATCCCAGCACAGGGCCTGGCCCAGAGCAGGCAGGGGGAGGTGTCTGTTGAATGGATGAGTGAATGAAAGAGTGAGCAAGGACAGGCACGCAAGCGGGTGGGCCAGCAGGCCTCCTGACCGCCAGACGCGGGGTTAGGCCAGGGTCCTGACTGCGGCAGGCAGGGCCAGGCAAGGGCCCACTCCTTCCATTTCCCCTTGATGCGCTTCACCAGGCCTCTTTCTCTGCCCTTTCCTGAACGGAAAATGTGAGGCCTGGCCTCCAGAAGGGATGCTTGGGGGTGGGGAGCGGACATTACTCACCTCCCGGGCAGACAGGAAGCCAGCGCCAGGGGAGAGCTGAGGGTCCTGCCTCCATCTTCCTGCAGGGTCATCAGGAGTTTCTCGGCCGGAGCTGCATGGCATCCTGGGGCATTTGGGGATCTCTTGTTTATGCCTCTCAGATGAGGCCGCTCCTCCAGCCTCGGGCCTCTGGGACCCACTGGGCCTTGGAGCGTCCCTCCCTCCTCTAGGGACAAGGTGCCAGCACTTCTGGAGCCTCCCCACCTAGTGCTCATCACCACGTCATGAGGCCGGACCAAGGCCTTTGCACTGAAGATCCCGGCTTAGGCCTTTGGTTTTTCCAGGGCTCTTCATCAATTTTGTCAAGTGACTAGCGAGCCTCTGTCACTGGCACGCGAGGTTGGTAAGCCTGTCCCCGCCTTCAGGAGCCTGTAGTTTTTAGACGGGGACAGGCGCACAGCACATGGTAACCCTGCCGGTTGTAAGCTTTCTGAGGGCAAGAAGGGTATCTCTGTAGAAATGTGTCTTACTTTTTCCCCTTATTTTACAAGTATTATATTCACTGTAGAAAATTTAGAGAAAAAATAGAGGAGCAAAAAAATGAAAAGTAGAAATACCACTGTTTGGGACATATTTTTTTCCGTCTTCTTTACGCATATAATCAGAATCTCATTTTCTTTAAAAAAAAAGTAGAGGAAGAGATCATGTCGTGTTGCAGGCACCTTATTTCTTCACATAATGTCGTTTGCCTCTCCCCTGCCACTGAAATAGCATTTTTAAAAATTGTTCAGTCAGTCCAGTGACCGGAGGCCCCATTCCCGAGTCCTCTGAGTGTTTGGCCCTGAGCTGGTGACAGGTTGGTGACACTGTGAGCTCAGGCCTATGACGATGTCTTTCCTACCGAGGAGGAAGTTACTTGCCCAGACCACAAGGGTCTCTGACTCTAGAGCCAGCGTTTGGGCCACTCATGGGGAAGGACATTCAAGTCCCCCCTTTTG